ACGTACTCAACGGATGTCGAGTCAACATCCATGGAGGGTGTGCCGCCCCTGTTGGACTTCTTGGACACCCCTGTTGAATGGTCTGGTACACTGGCGGATAGCCAATCAATATGTCTTGGCCTGGAGTACGACATATCATTCGGTTCGTAGGATTCACTTCCCTAGAAGAGGAAGACACGGCACAACAATGAATCTAAACTCGATCGTTATCTCAAATCATTTCCCTCTCATAAGATTAATCTGGATTACTCCCGAGACATGAAGTTCTTGGTCTAGTATACTAGTTTGGATGAGCTAAATGAAATTGAAATGATATTACCATCGATGATGTGTTCACTTATATGGTAGCTACCGACATAAATGAAAAGTGACGATATCGAACCATGTTCCGTTGATTAAGTGACAACGTAGAACTGATTGGACAACTGAAATTACAATCCAGGTCAAATTCCTTACCAAAGTGTGTATTGGACTTGTCGTTCCTACACTGCCCAAGGTAACCCTGTTATGTTACAAGTGGGAAAGGAAATGTTATAAAATGAATGAAATAATGCGATATGATGCACGCCTTACGGTGCAAGGTTTCTTTCAAACGCCATGTGATTGATAGCAACATTATGAAATGTGGTTAGTGTTTTCTCCATGGGGATATAGATACATAGATTTACATGTAAGTTCTCGAAGAATTACATGGACCGGTTCAAATAGTTCCAAACCACGAAACACCCTCTTAACTTGTTTGAGGCGTTCACTTACAATCCGACGGATGTGGCATACCCGTCTAAGTGATTATTTGATTAGTCAAGGATATGAATTATGCCTTTGCGTGTTAAACTATAAAGTCTTATTCCAAATTGCTAGAGTTACAGTTTATGTTGTTGACATACATCTCACTAATACTCTAGAAGAACTTGAGAAACTGCCTCGCATTTGAAGATGGAATTTGAGATGAAGGATCTTAGGAAAAATCGTTTATGCCTTGACCTCAAGTTCAAGCGTTGTTTTGACGATACCTTGGTCTACCAGTCGAACTACACCCCGAATGTGTTACCTTTGAGTATACCTATGATCGTCTATACATTATATGTAAATGAAACCCTTGAAAAGGTTATGGAATCCGAAATTCCATATCTAAGTTCAACTTTGCACTTCATTGTACTTAGCCCATTGTATTTAGACAGGACATCTCATTCGCTGTTAATCTTGGTAAAGATACAGCATCGTGCCTACACACATCTATTGAATTAGTATTAAAGACATACCCTAAAGGTACTACAAGGGCAAATCCCAACGCATCTAGAGCGGAACCAACCCCCCTAATCCTCAGAATGATGCTTGCCTTGTTGTTATGCTGACGTCGGTTACTTATCAAACCCGCACAAAGCAAAATCCCTAAATGGTTATGTCTTTACCGTTAAGGGATATCGCAATATCTTGGAAGTCCATGATATGACCTTAGTTGCGAAATCTTTGAATCGTTCCAAGACTCACCTTACTTCACTACGCCACAAGTGAGACATGGTTAAGTGTTCTTGTTGAGCATATTCGAAGTACTTGTTGTTTTTCATCCATCGTTGAGTCCCAATGACGATTCATGAAAATTATGTCGCATGTATAAACCCGACCAAGCCATGATTCATTAACGAAATCAACGCCAAGACATATTGCGTCAACATCTACATTAGCAAAGCATCTGGATATTGAAGTCATGCAAGACGATTCCAGACAACCTTGCCGATCTCTACACCATCACTGCCGAAGTCAACCTTCCAGAAGCTTATATGAGGAATTAGTATGACTAACTATTCGTATGCAATGTTTGTAGTTCTCATTTGAAAGTTATGTCAAACTCAGGGGGAGTATCCATAAGTATACTCACTTGATCTTAATGTACTCTTTTTCCCTACGATTAGAAGCATTTTTCCTATTGGGCTTTTGCTACCTAACTAGGTATTAACGAGGCACCCATCTTGGGCTGATCATACCCTTGTGAGCTCTTCTACTTGAATCCAAAAGACGTATAGTTCTGACTTAATGCAACTTCTCACTTTTCTCTTTAGCCTATGGGGTTCTCTCTCACCTTGGGTTTTACCATAGCGAGGTTTGTGAGTTTTACTTTTTATGCATTCTTCCGTTGATCTGAGACTCGCATTCACTCATTGTGCCGACAACTTCATCAACTTTACTTCATCGCTAAATACCTGATGCGCCATTTACTTGAGTTTTACACACTCAAGAGGGAGTGTTGCAGTCCTATTAGATTAGGAATGTGATTGTGTAAATTCTAGTATATCTTGTTATATCTCTTATATTCCTATTAGGAGTAGATTACCTATTAAATATTGTAATCCTAAAGGGTAAGGAATTAACTTTCCCTACTACTATAAATAAAGACACAATGGGGTGGAATAAAAAACACCCATAATTACACATCTCTCTCTTCTCTTTACTATTGCCGCACATTTCCCTCTCTCTATGACCTCCATAATTGTTCAATAAATTATGCCTACAACAGAGCTAAAATTTTAAGCCATAAAATTTTCTGGGTTCTGACTTAAAATTTTAAACTTTACCCTCCCTTAGGGATGGTCTAAAGCAAGGTATAAAATATCGATGATATCGGGAATATCGGTAGTCCAAAAACACGGAAATATCGATGGAAATATCGAGATATTATCGATATCGATAAAAATAATATGGAAACCACCGAAATTGTAAGAAAAACTTGGAAATTTTTATTGAAACTTTGCAGGATGTTTATTTAGTCAATTATCTATTAGTTTATCACAAAAAATTGGAAGGAAATGTATTGCATGATGGATTTAACTGATTTAAGTTGATTATATAGTGAGCTGGCAAACATTGTGAATGTAGAAAATATGTAGTAATTAATGAAAGAAGTTTAAACACACCATAATCATTTATATAATGAATTAGTACAATATTTTACACTTTATACATTGCATGGTAAGATACATGAGTGACTTAGTACCACATAGAGTTCCTATGAGGTTCAAAATTTTCACTATCTTCATCATCTCTATTTGTAGAGTAAGTGTATTGTGAAGAGTAGTTAGCAACTATGTTAATGGTTTTCAAGAACCAAAACCCAAAAGTCAATAGGAAACCAAATACTTCGGCATTTTCGGGATTTCAGGATTACCAAACAAATGGGATTTGGAAACCAATCCCATATCGAAAATTTCGGTATTTTTCAGGATGGGATTCCCGAACTTTAGGATGGTTTTGGTTTGGGATTTTTCGGTTTGGGTTTGCGACTTTTTCGGTTTGGTTTGGGATTTTCGGGAATTTTTTCTAGCCCTACCATGTAAGTGACCAAATAAAAAATAGAAAAATTAAAAACCACATGCCATTGACTAAGTAATTGATTGACACAATTTAAAATATAATATCACAAAAATTTTGGAATATGTGCAAATTTGTTTCTTGTAAAAAGAATTCAAAACAAAACCATATATATAAATATTTTAGCATATTATCACAACAAAGTAAGTGATATGGTGGTTAAGGTGTTAAGGAGTCAAATGGGTGGGGTTCGAATCCCTCTATGCTCAAAATTGAGACTTTTCAGAAATTTTCAAGTATTTTTGGATTTCATATCGTGATATTTTGACGAAAACTCATTGGATACCCATTAAAATATCGGTAACTCAAAAAAACGAAAATATTTTGCGGATATTTTGGTCCTTGGTCTAAAGAATAAGTTGATGTTAAAATGAATAGATGTCAAGTTATAGTTGGTAGAACTCTAGGTCAACAAATCAACCCATAACGTGTGGAAAATTTTCTCCTCATTAAGAGTGATATGCATGCACCCCATAGCATTTACAACGACATAACTCGCCACATTTACAGGAAATTTCCAACGTTGGACATCCCTTGATTCACGAAATGAAGATGGAGACCTCCACTGACTCTTCCTCCATTTACAGGAAATTGCCTCCTCATTCACGTGGGTCCTTGATTTCCAAATGTGTTGGCATTAATAAACCTCTAATTCATTTATTCCAGTTATAGAGTTAGACTCTAAAAGGCAATCTCCATGACTGGTTCTAAAAAAATTAGGAGCATTTTTCTTCACTACCATAAACTATAGTCTCATATCTCATAATTTGTTACATGTTTTTTTTTTCATCTAATTTTGGCTAGCATTCATATTAAATGTTTCTTTTTCAATTTTTAAAAAAATTAATCAGAATTAAATGAAAAGACATACAACGAATGATGATGTGTATGGTTAGCATATAGTGAGAAAAGTGATGATATACTTTGGAACATAATATGCGATGCGAGACGACTTCCCAGAACTATTCTTAGGGGTGGTTTGGGAGTGAGATGCTTAAAAAAAAAGCACCCATGAAAAAAAGCTGTGAGGGTTTTAGGTGTTTGGTAAATTGAAAACAAATGGCTTATTTTGGAAGCTGCTGTGAAAATAAGCTGAAATCAAAGGAAAAAGCTGAAGCTGCTATTTGTAGCTTTGGAAAACTGGTTTTTTTTCAAAGCACACGGAGCTACAATGCTCCTTTAATGAAAATACCCACTATCATATTGCTTTTTTTTTCAAAAGCACTTTTACAAAAAAATTTACCAAACACTCTGCTGATTTATTTCACAGCCGCTTATTCTCACAGCACAGCCGCTTTGAAAAAAAGCTGCTGTGAAAATAAGCGGTTGTGCTATGAGAATAAGCGGCTGTGAAATAAATCAGCTGAGTGTTTGGTAAACTTTTTTATAAAAGTGCTTTTGGAAAAAAAAGCAGTCAAATAGTGGGTCTTTTCATTAAAGAAGCACTGTAGCTCCGTGTGCTTTGAAAAAAAGCCATTTTTCCAAAGCTGCAAATAGCAGCTTCAGCTTTTTCCTTTGATTTCAGCTTATTCTCACAGCAGCTTCCAAAATAAGCCATTTTTTTCAGTTTACCAAACACCTAAAACCCTCACAGCTTTTTTTCATGGGTGCTTTTTTTTTAAGCACCTCACTTCCAAACTAGGTCTTATTCTCATAGCAGTTTTTTTTCAAAGTACAGCAATACCAAACCAGCCCTAGAAAGTCAACTTTCCAGAACAGTTTTGATTGGACACAGAGCCTTATCACATTTTCTAATCAACCACACATTGATTGGATACAGAGCCTTATCACATTTTCTAATCAACCACACATCATTTCAAACATTTAGCGTATCGAAAGGAGAATGACGATATACTTTGGAACCAATCCGTGAGTTGTGCAGCCTTGCTCTTATATAAAATGAGATGCTACAGAACCAATATTTGGTGTCTTGTGTCCCAAAGATGTCACGGACAATGAAGCAACTCTTCCTCTTCGCAGCGCCGCTTGGTGGTTTCGCTCTTAATCTTTTGTTCCTAGTTCATGCCCAAGATCAATCAGGTATGAATTCTAAATACAGGATTATAATAAAGTTAAGGTTTTTATCGCAAATGATTCCTGAAATTAACCTATCCATAGTTCTTGAGTCGATCAATATAATTCCTGAAAATAGATGTCACATATCAACATGGTATTTCCTGTAAAAAAAAATTGTTATGTGTTGATATGGTACATAACTGGATCCCATAAATCAATTAAATATTGTCATATGAATTAAAGATATTTAAATAGTAAAACAGTTTTAAAAAAAAAATTAATGGGGGAAGAGGAAGATGAACAGTACTGTAAGTATTTGAATTATCATATACAGTGACCCCGTCCCTCTTATCCACCATTGATCTGCTCTAACACAAACGTTCTCCGAATAGATTTGTAAGTATTTGAATTATCAGATGAAGCTCGCAGCACCTCCATGACTAGAAAAGCACGCTTCTTTCTTCCTTCCTTTGTTCTGCATGTGCGTCTGTACATGCTTCAATTTCGCAGTGAGCTCAATTATGCGGCTTCGTCGACCATTTTTCCCAAGATTGAATCTTTTTGAGTTCTTGGTTTTAGTTTGTTTATTGACCTCAGGTGGCCGTGAAACAAAATCCAGGTCCCATGCGCTCCCATTGGCCATGAAAAGCGTAGGACAAAGACCCATCAGACCTACCCCTTAATAATACCCACAAATATCCGAAAAATAGTTGAAAAAACAAATTATTGGTGGGGAAGAAGCAGATGAACAGTACTGCTCGTGTGTGTATCTATATATATATATATATATATATATATATTTAGTTTTTAATTATACAAATAAAAATTATTTTTTATTATTTAAATATTTTCAATTCACATTGCAATATTTAATGCGAGCATTTTTGCTTACCACCTTAACACCATTTCCAATCGGATAGATTATAGTCCTACAAAAAATTACTTTTTAATAAACAATAAAAAGCCATATCTATATACAATCTCCAACCGAATAAGGTTATTTTTTAACCCCCTCAATAATTTATTATTTTAAGTTTGTTCTTTAATTTTCTCAGTTAATTGAATTAAACTTGTGTATGCAAATTTCTTCATCATTGTTCTTGGACAAAATTGCATCTACAAAACAAATAACACCTTAGGTCAAGGCCAAAAGCCTCACACGTCCACGATGAATGTGGAAGGGGGGGCTTCGATGCCAAAATTAGAATTTTGAGAGAAAAATGTTTGGAGAATTTGGAGAATTTAGCAAGAGAAATGGAATTGAGTTTTGGAGAAAATGAGATAGTATTTATAAGCGTGTGGCCACCCCTTTTGAGAGGATGGGAACCGGCCACTTAGATGGTTTTTTGGGTGAGATTCATGATTTGTTAGCTAATTAATAAATTAATTAGGTAATAAATCAATTAATTAGCTAATTAATATAATTAGAAATGAATGATTTGGGGTTACCTTGTAGAGAAGGCTAGAAATAGTGCACATGCGTTGCTACGGGATTACAAAAAGCGTGAGCATAACATATATAGATATTTAAAGAACGATGAAGTTTAATTAATCAATGGAAAATGGCGATTGTTAAGTAAATTAGCAAATGAGAATATCTGTACATTCAATGTAACAAAACTTCAATTACATGAAATCAATTGGTGGAATTAAGAATATCTCACATCACATTGAATGTGACGATATTGCAATTAACAGGAACTCAGTTTCGAAACAATCCGCAAATCTAAAATCAAAAGCAATAAACAGAGCTAAAAACAGTAAAAACAGAGAAAAACATGCATGCTGGGAAATCAAAAGAGAAGGGAAAAGGGAAAACCTTTATGATTAATTTTCTTCTCATGGCGTGGCTTAAGAGAGACCCAAAAAAATTTACAAACTATTAAGGACTGATACAGTCAATTTTGAATCAAAACAAATAAGCCTTATTAATACCTTGTGAAATCGCATTGTGATTTTGACAGCGTAAAACCCATAAATGTCGAGCAAATGATGAACATGCAATTCAGATCAAATATGCAATCTTTTCTGCAAGATAAAAATGCATAACTATCCACTGTAGGGGCGATTGGGAGAACAAAAAAAAATCAAAAGGAATTATTAACTTTTGGATCTAGAAGGAAACTCAAATGAATCGATCGAAATTATAACCCTAGAAACTAAAATCAAACAAACACAAAAACAAATGTGAGAATTTACACGGCAAGAGATTGATACTTACCCGATGTTTGGGGGGGTTGACTGAGATCGGCGCCCATTTTTTAAAAAGTAGTGAAAACCCAAAAGCAACCAAGTCTGATCAATGCCAAAACAGAAATGACAATCAGCTAGCAGAAGCTATCCAGCAACAGGGATATCCAAACAGATACTATTCATGTTTCTCTAGATGCTCAGTGCCAAAATCCTCTTCACTCAAAAGCACTTCTATAGTAAATAAAAGTCACAGAGATCATACAAAAAATCCAAAACACTAAAATGGGCAATCAAGATTCAAGACCAACATCCAATAACCAAAATTGGCACCAAAACACTAAACCCCAAAATTGCAAACCAGCTTAATTCAAAAGTAGCTTAATCCAAAAGCAGCTTAATCTGCAACAATTGAACCAAGAAACAGAATTTACCGTGATATAATCGATCCCAGAACCGATCTTCTTAGCTTCAGGATGAAACGGAGGCAGCCTTTGGAGAACAGTCTTCTGATGCTGAGGGCTCAATCTATTTGGATTAGAACACGGGAAAATGAAAATATAAGTTAATGCAAAATTTTTAGCACATCAACTTGCAAAATATTTTCAATATACTGAGATCTATCACAAACAAAACATCAAAACCAAAACTACTAACTCCCCAAAAAATCAAAACTACATATAAGAAAAAGGAAATCAAGCTTAAAAAACTTAAATTAGGGGAAAGAGTTGGAGAAGCAACAACTGACATTATTTTCCAAGGCTTTTCATGGTTGGCAATATAATGCATGTGCTTCCCAGGAGCTTCAACATGAAAGCTTGATAAATTGATGAAATGGATTGGAGCAAAAGTAATTTGAATGCCTCCTTCGTTCTGACAACAAAAAAAAATATTTTAAGATTAGATATTACAAACTGATGTACACATAATAATAGAATCAGTGTCAATTTCTCCATGTTATAGCAATACCTCATAACAAATCGTCGGCAAACAAAATCAATTTTAAGTTTTTTGAATTAAAAAAGCAAAAACACATTTTCAGAGAGTAGCCAGACAAAATCATAATAGCCAATAGCAAACAAATCCAGAAAAAGATAGAAACAAATAGAATCATTTAAATTTTGTATGCTGTTAGTTTCTCAAGTAACATTTACATATTCAAATTATGCATGTATTGGGGCGCTTTAGGCACAATGGTAGTGTAGTATTCAAAATTTATTTTCAAATGATCACAAATGAATCTCCAACTATTGTACTTAAAACACCATTATTCTACTCAAACTAAGTGAAAATTGTGTTGTTTTTATAAAAACATTGAAAAACATATGAACTCATGCCCAGCTTTGATTAATTCATCATTAATAGCTGACGATTTCAACACTAAGAGTTTATAAGAGAACATTGAAAACATATGAACATGCCCACTTATTATCATGTCCAACATTGCAGTTGATTAATCTCACATAAATCCACATCAAAAGAACCCAGAAATTTAATGAAGAATTTTCCAAACTCACAATTTATTTACACTAAAACCCACAAATTTAAACGAAAAACTCTATAAAATCAAGAAAAAATTAATAAAATCCAAGTATATTAATCACAAATTCAATCATACAAATCTTCATATCCAATAAGTCTAGAAGGTACCTAGCTTCCTTGCAAAATCGTATCTCTACAGGCCAAGGCTCAAATTTCCTTGCAGCTGCCTTGATTCGATAAGTCCTGATTCAAGCAGTCACATATATATATATATATATTTAAGTTGATGCGTTCAATGGACATATGCACTTATCAGAAATTATGATACCGATTGAACACGTTAGAGTAATATCCGCAATTAAATAATGAACATTAAAATGACTAACCGGGTAACATAAACTGCTCAAATTTGGGGGGCTGGAATTTGAAGAACCCAGATGGAAGTTACACACAATCTGAAAAGAATGAAAGCAACTGCATTATAGGAAGAGTTGTTACAATCAAGAAAATATAAAATATTGCGTCGTTGCCCTATATGATCTCAGGATCCAAACAGAAATAAGTAAACAGAAAGAGAACTATTGGAAAGCAATTACCTGAAATTCTGAGTTCTCTTCTAGAGTGAGGAGAAAGAAGTTTTCTAAAACAATCAAAACCTTGCTTTGTGCTAACTAATGAATGGTCTGAATTGTGAAAAAAATCGAATTCAAATCCTCCTTCAGCAACCTAATAATTAAGCCCATAAAAATTTAAAAACTCTAATATCGGCTATTTTCTAAATATTAGGACACAATACGTCATCAATACGTTAATTAAAAATATACATTGATGCGTATTCATACATATATATAAATATATTAATAATTGTATATAAATATATACGGCATGGATGCTAAAAAATAAGGAAAACTAACGAAAAGTCCAAAAAAAACTTCCCTTTTAATGAAAAGTCATTTTTAAAGGTATAATGAATAGTACTAAAAAGGGTATAAATGTGGTTTTTCGTTAAAAGTGAACCGTACTAGAAGTGTTTTGTTAAAACTCCCTAAAAATATGCATTATTTTCTAATATAAATATAAATATATATGGCCTTATTTTCTCATAAAACAGAAGCCCTGGTTTGAAAATAAAATATCACATGACTTCAAAAAAACCCTAAGTACCTAGCACAATAGAATCTGCCGCCGTCGGCTTCTTTCCAATTGTAGATCTGGCCGTTTCGACACTCTTCTACACAGAGCTCTCTCACTCCCCCTCCCGCTCTCTCCCCCTCCTCTGGTTAGATCATTTCATCGTCAAGCTGCTTTTGTTAGAAATTTGTCAAGACCCACAACACAACCTAACTAAAAAACTCAAGGATTAAAAGTTTCTCCCCAAAAAACCACATCTCTGTCATCAAACGAAAACTTCGAAAGCAACAACCCATTCTAACATCTAAAATTGAACAGAACACAATCCACACAGTTGCATAAAAAAATTGTAGATGCAAGATTAGAAGAATTCACAACAAAACTATCCACTTTGAGACCAACAGATGCGAAGAGAGAAGAGAGAGCAGACAGCTACAAAACACCCAAAGAAATCGAAAGCGAAGAAGATCAACGCCCAAGCAGCGACATCAACGGGAAAGAGAGGAAATTTTTACATACCGACTGATCGGCGCGAGGGGAGAGAAATGAGATCAAAAAGGGAAAAAAATTAAGGTTAGAACAGCGACAACAGCAAAGAAAAAAGGAAAGAGCACCGAAGCACCTAGGGTTGGGTTCGGTTTGAAACGGTTCGGTTTTTTGCCAAAACCGAAACCGAACCGAATTTTCGGTTCAGTTCGGTTCGGTTCAAAAAAATTTCGGTTTTTTTCGGTTCGGTTTTTTTCGGTTTTGATTTTTTTTGGCTCGGTTTCGGTTTATTTTCGGTTTTTTTCCATGATTTTTTTTTAATCCGGAAGAAATCTGCAACGATTAAGCAATGGAGATGCAGAAACTTCTGCATCAAATGAATACGAACTGGGACGATCGGCCATGGATCTGACATTATTGGGTGTCGATGCGTATTTCTTGTTGTGGATCTGAGAGCTCTCGCAGAGAAAATGCATGCATGTGTTAAATCTTTTGATTTTTCCATGAAAATAAACCCAATAGAACTAAATAGCAACCATGAGAGTTTTTTACCTTGGGGGTTTATTTTTAGTCCCAAAGCTCTCGCCAGCCATGGAATACTTATGCATCTGCTGCCAAATTGGAAGATTAAAAGAAAAACTTATGCATCTGCTGCCAACATGCAAAACCCCAACAAAATAATTAAAAGAAAAAACCCCAAAAAACACGTAGAAACAACAAAAAAATAATTAAAAGGAAATCTGCAACAACAATCATGGTTTGGAAGAAGGAATCCGCGAGGAGGACAGGAGAATATTGGAGAGAGTGATTTGAAGGAAGAGATGAAGGGGAGAGAGAGATAGAGAGAGAGAGATTGAGGAAGCAAAGGCAGAGACTCAGGGAGGAAGTAGCGGAGGGAGAGAGAGTTTGAGAAAACGTGAAAAACTGAAATGGGAATGTGAATGACGGCTAGGGTTTGTAAGTTAAGAAATTTTATAAAGCGTTAACTATTAGAAACCTATAAATGAATTACCGGTACAATTATAACAAAACAAAGCTGACAGTCAAGTTGGCTTGAAACGACTACCAACCTGAGGTCAGGGGTTCAAACCCTGATATTTTTTTATTATTTATATATGATTTTTTTTTTCGGTTTGGTTCTGTCCGGTTCGATTTCCGAACCTCAAAAACCGAAACCGAACTGGCCATATTTGGTTCGGTTCGGTTTTGGCAATTTCGGTTCGGTTTTTTTTGGCTTCAGTTTGGTGCGGTTTTCAGTTTTTTTTGGTTTTCGGTTTTTTGAACCCACCCCTAGAAGCACCCAAAGAAATCGAAATAGGAGAGGATGAACACGTGGCCTCGGAGGGCAAGGAAGTCATTTAACTGTAGAAAAATGGCAAAAAAGTGGCTTAACAAATGAATTGAGGGGCATTTTGGTCCGCACATTGCCCGTGAACAGTGCACCCGAGTTTGGGCTTTAGTGTATGTATAATTTGATAAGGATAGATGAAATATGTTTTTAATAAATACCTATTTTGGGCACTTTTGACTTGATTGAGGAATGATTGTTCACTGCTCGCGCGTAGGAGTTCCGTTGTTCCTCGAGGGTAATTTTGTCATTTTCATCCTAAAATCCACGTGTTACCTTCATATTCTTCTTGATTATTTTTGGCTTCCCAAAACTACCATATTAAAATAAAATTTCTGAACATATTTTGAGGGCCACTTGTCGCTAAATGTTGTTTTAAGTTTCATGTTATTAAATATTTTAACTTTACTTGCTTGTTAACAACTTAGACATTAAAATGAGATAAGATAGCATGAAATGGTGAAAATCATGTGAGAAATGGTGCAAAATGATTTAAGTATTTATAGGAAAAAATTAGAATTTTTTTTTTTAAATTTCATCTTAGGAAAAAAAAAAAGACTACATGACGTCAGTTAGCAGCACAACTAGGCCTAACTTTCAGGGTTGACTGGCCATTTGGCTATATTTTGGCATGTGGGTCCCAAATTTTTTTGGCCCAACCCTCCATTGGAGATGGGTTTTATATCAAAACGGATTATGTTTATGCCTGTAACCCTTTGATCGGCTCGGTTGAAGATGACCTAAACTCTAGAACATGCTCACCACCCCCTCTAAAGATTGACTATTAACAATTAACAATGATTAACTATTAACAATTAATAGTAAAAAAATTAAGGAATTAAGTCATCCCCCCTTCTTCCCCAAAATCACAAGCCACTGCTTCATGCTTGAAAACTTAACAGAAAATATTGTGACCACATTGATTTTTGACACCTATTTTCAAAGACTACATTAGTCGATTTTCAATTTCAAGAACCATCTTAATCAATTTCAGGGACCACTTGTGATAAAAACCCTAAAGTTAAAAAACAATTAAGAACTCTTTTCTTACATTTATAATATATATGTGCCAGGCTTCATTAGCATAGATTGTGGCCTAAGGGAAGACTTCAGGTATAATTCAACATGGTCAGGCATTACCTATATTTCAGACGAAAACTTCGTGGCCACTGGTGAACGGAAGTTGGTGTTGCCTGAACACAAAAACACGTATTCCCCGTTATACAACTCTCTTAGAAGCTTCCCTAAAGGTATCCGAAACTGCTAAAATAAATGTTACAAGTAAAACCAAGTATTTGATCAGAGCAGGTTTCTTTTATGGGAATTATGATGGACAAAATGAAGTACCCCAATTTGAGATACATCTTGGACCTAACTTGTGGGATACAGTGAAGTCGGAAGCAACAAAAATCGAGCTCATACATGTCCCTCTGCAAAACTATGTACATGTTTGTCTGGTGAAGAAAGGCTCCGGGGTTCCATTTATATCAGTCATAGAACTCAGGCCATTAACCGATGCCTCGTACAAAACAGTGAAAGGGTCCTTATCACTTCTCTTGCGGAGTGACACTGGTCTAACAGCTGACCGTGAATACAGGTGAGTGATTTACATGTTTACTATTGTCTCCAATTTAACCATATATAGTCTGGCATTCATCAACATTGTATGCATGTATTGATGCAAAACCTTTATTTGTATAGGTATCCATTTGATACTCATGATCGAATCTGGGAATACTTTGACGACCACAGCTCTTGGACAAAATTAAATACCTCATCCACCATCAATTCAGAATTCGAGTATCAACTACCATCCGTCGTGATGGGCACAGCTGCAACGCCGACAAGTTCAAATGATTCGTTGAATATTTTATGGGACCCGTATGATGACACTGAAGTACATCATGTTTACTTGCACTTTGCAGAAGTTGAAAAGCTCCAACCCAATCAGTCTAGACAGTTCAACATTACTACAAACGGAGAGCTGTGTTATGGGACACTTGCTCCTGATTATTTGTCCACAACGACAATATTGTGCACCGCTAAATCCCTGAGTGGACCAGGAGTAAACAGTAATTTTTCAATTGTTAAGACTGGAAACTCTACCCTTCCACCCATCCTCAATGCCTACGAGATTTATGGAGTGAAGGAATTCTTAACATCAGATACCAACCAAGACGATGGTGAGTCATATTGATTCCTTACACAAGCTTAAATTCCTTGCTATATGTGAGCTTTTATAACATCTTCTGTTTGCTTGTGAAAATATTAGTTGAGGCTATCACAAACATTAAGTCAACGTATAATATTGAAAATAACTGGCAAGGAGATCCTTGTAACCCTCATGTTTACTCATGGGATGGTCTAAACTGTAGCTATCAAGGAAATGATCCCCCAAGAATTATATCCTTGTAAGTATAAATATCTTCACACCAAATTGCAGATTAATTTTCAGTACTTACAATTTTATTGATGTTATGGACTTTGCAATCAGGAACTTGTCTTCCAGTGGATTAGAAGGGGAGATTTCTCCTTCTCTGTCAAATCTAACAATGATACAGACATTGTAAGTGTATCTAAATAATTTGTAATTTTGTGTGAAAACATAAACATATCTCAGTAATAATACGGCAAATGATCAATTATACCTAAAAAGAAATGACACGAATCATTCTGGAAGAATTTCAGACATCATAATCAATAGTGTTAAATGAGTTGAGCTGCTCATTGCAGGGATTTATCAAACAACAACTTAAGAGGATCAATTCCAGAAATTTTGTCACAACTGCAGATGTTAAATGTGTTGTAAGTTATTTTGTTATATATGTGTATGTGTGTGTGTATTTTGTTAGTCTTATAGCTTATTTACGCATTTGAAACTCAATACGAGTCTTGCACCACATAACTTAAATTGTGTCACTTAACTTCCTAATACTCAACTTGTTTTTCACTTTTACCATATGCCATCAAAGTCTGTTAGATAATCCGTTAAAATTGGTGACATGACACAAATGACCCAGTTTTTTGCACAAATAGATGCTACTAGCAAGGGTGCCCGCGCATTGCTGCGGGATTGAAAACTGTATAACGCCTTGCTGCAGGATTGAAAATTGCATAACTCATGTAGAAGTTCTAAAAAAAATTATGTATGTGTGTAATACAGTAGACAATACTATTTACATACATGTGCAAATTTATTTACAACAATAAGGAACAAAATAAGTGTCCATGGGCGAAATGAAGTTTATGGTTATAAATTGTCAAATTCCATACGTGTCAAACTTCATTTAGGAAACTAAAACCATAAAGAATAAAGTGATAAACACAGAAAGATAGTTCACAATATGAAACCGTTGCTTCACTAAATAAGCAGTACTAACAAAATCATGCTTGTTTTGCTGCAAAAGAACAAAGTAGAAAAAGGGAAACAAAATATTTATTTCTTATTTTATATTCTGTGGAACAAACTTGGAAGAAGAAGCAATAGTGAAAAAATCATATTTATTTCAATTCTTTAGGTAGAGAAAAATAGTACAGAAACCAACAATGGAGGCACATTTTGAGAAAGTATTGATGAAAACACACAGTACACATACCTGCTTAAACCTTTCCTCCTTTTGCTCAGCCTGTATTTGGAGTAGATTAGACTTGGGCATAAATTCAGAAATCAGTTAAGAATGAAACCCAAAAGTAATTGCAGTTTCTTATTATCGTTTCTCTTAGAAAAGACTAAAAAAATTGTTTCTTAAGATAACAATATGTATATAAGCAGGATTGTGCTTAATTTTCTCTAATTAAAGCAATGGTTTGCGCAATTTAGAACCTGATATAACAAAAGCATAACAAACAAAAAATTCCAGAACCTGAAGTGCCTTTTGAAAGCTCGGTCCTACTTCGAAAATCTACAAAGGGAAAAATTGTAAACCCAAATTAAAGCTTCTTCTCTCACTCAAAAGAACAATGGAAACTTTATATGGAAAAAAATTGAAATTCTGCGTAATCAAAAGTGGATCAAAACTCTTAATAGATTATCTTTACGCGTAGGAGATCGTTGTTAGAATTTGAAAACAATTGAAACAATTGAAACTTCATTTTAAACACAGACTTAATCAATTGATTTATATTTAAATGGAAAGAAAGTAGTGGTCAGTTTTACCTATCTTTTGTTTAGTATCGCTCCATTTCTAATTTCAATTAAAAGCTTGAATTTTTACTTTCCTTCCATTCCCCTGTGCATAAGAGTACATTAGCTCTTGTTTACCTACTACAAATTGAAAACAATTTGGGGAAAATAACTAAACCTTTGGTTATTAGATTCTTGGTAGGCAAAGCAAGAAATTTACACACAACAAAACTATTAAAACTTTAAAATTCACTTCCCAAATTAGGTTCTCTGACTGGCTAATGATCATATTGGATATAAATTATCATCCCGAACACTGCAATGCTTGATTTATTTATTTATTTATTTGTGTTGACATTCTAGTTAATCATTATTTAACCGAAGAATACAATTCATAGAACAATAATTAGTAGTAGCTAAACGAAAGGGAACAAATAGCAAAATTTGCAGTTAACAACATAGAGGTAAGTGAATTATACACAATTAGGATAGGAATGCAACCAAAATGTGACTCTTACCTGGTTTTGGTTATGCGTCTATCAAGTGCTGCCCTTAACTAACGAAATAAGCACTCTCTTCATGTAGCACATTTAGTCATCAATCCCTTACACACTAAGATATTATGTATTACATTCAAATTTTTCTGTACTTACATTTTCATTCTATTTCTTTCAGTGTGTAAACTTATACTAAATCTCCATAATTTTCAGTCAATTCCATTGTAATTAAAATAAATATTGAGTATATACATACTTATAGACACACAAAATTCAGTTTTCCATATGAAAGCACATACGTCAAGTCAATGTTCCTATTGTATTCATTTAATCAAAGGATGCATCAAATATAAAAATTAAATTATACCTATAATTTATAACCTTTTGATTTCGCTTCGTCTGCAGCTAAACCAAAATTTAGACAGTCCCCAATATAATTCTGTCAAATACCAGATACCAACGCCATGTAAAAGTCATATTGGGTGTCCACACCCACACTTGGGCTTAAAAAATACTTGCATATAAATTAGAAAGAAGATGAATAAATTAAAGAAAAATCATATCTACTAGCAATTCAGACTCACCCAAAGTTGCTATCGAGCTCTGCCGAAGACAACCCTGCACTGTTGACAAAGTCTAGAACAACCTAGAAATTTAAAAAGAAATAAGCAATCATTTACTAAAAATCTTCACAAAAAAAAAAAGTGCTAGTTTCACAAATAAATGAAACCTAGATTAAATATCTTGATAAAAACTAAGAACTTCAAAGCTTAAGAAAAACCCATGAATCCAACCATGAAAAAGATGCAAACTTTTGCACCGGCAAACCATTCATAAACCAAAAATGATATTTTAAACAAAACACATGAATCCAACTCAAAAAAGCTCAAATTTAAATCAACCAACACAAACAAAATATCAAACATGGTTCATTGTCTCTCTTCGCATTTAAATCACATAGTGTTGCCCAATATATTATCGTCTTAACATTTCAAATACTCATGCATTAGATAAAAAATGATATCTATGTTAAAATTACATGGACTGCTTTATCGTGGTTTAAAAAAGCAACCACAAATCATAGAATCTAAATGTTCCTCAAATCATCTAAAACACTAAAACAAAACCCTCACTTCCTACTACACGTTTAAGATAGGTGAACCCATACAAACCTCTTCACCATTCACCAATATCCTTGGTGCTATAAATCCAAACAAAAAAAAAAACATCCATAAATAAAATGGCTACTAACCAAAGCATCCTCTGAACAAATTAAGAAATTCAATTAAATTAAACTCCCAGAAAAAAAAATTTAAAACACAAAAAAGATATGCTTGAATTGTCAAGGAAATCAAGATACTAATAAATATAAAGATGTGTTTGAATTGTTAATCAAATAAATAAATAAGACAAAGCATTTCCAAACGTTGATTATGTCTGATGAGTTAATGCTACGTGATTGCCCTGGATTAGTTTTTCCAACCTTTTCAAGCCATGAGATGATTGCTTCTGGTGTATGACCAAGGATATGGAGGCTGTGTAGATAGTGGCCAATCGATTTCTAAGACATGTTTTTGAAGCGGTCTACAGGATTGATGTGCCCAAACCCAAATCCTATGAAATCGACAACCGAAGAAACAGAGATTCTCCTATCACTAAATAAAGATTCAAACCCAAAACTGAGTAATTTATCAAAAAATTCACTGAATCGATTCGAGAAAATGCGAAAATTATCAAACCTAATCTTCCGCAATCGTCCAAGTAGAGAAAATTTAGACTTTTTGTGGCGAATTTCTGGAGAAATTTTTTATGGATGAAGGCTGATGGCGATTTATTTGGCTCGAGAAAGTTGGGTCATGGCATACTAGAGATTTTAAGTGGAATTGATAATGAAAGTTTGGACGAAAACGACAAACGGAGAACAAAGGGTCCGTGGGAGAAAGATTTGTAGTCTCGCGGTTTCTGGAAGATTGGAGAACGAATCGTCATTTCATCCCCTCCCCACTCCAAGATGGCTGACACGTGCACAGGTGAAGAGTGTTGTCGAAGACGAAGGTGTAGCGATGATGTCTCGTGGGTTAGGAGGGCAAAACGGCCTTTTTGGTGTGTGAAAAATGGGAAAAATAGCTGATAACAAAGAATTGGAGTGTGTGTACGTCAGTCCGATTACTTTTAATGAACAGTAATTTTGTGTTGAGTTTTAATATATGTATAACGTGGATGCCATTTGAAATAAAAAGTATAAATATAAGAATTGATTTAAAACACAAGTTAGATTTATTCATTTAAAAAAATAAGGAAAACTAATGAAAAAGACTTGAAAACTTTGAGTTTTAATGATAATGACAAAATAAAGGGTAAAGTGAATAGTACCAGGATTGACTTTTTAGTGTAAAAATATGATTTTTTGTTAAAATAAACAGTACTAGATACTTTTCGTTAAAATTCCATTTAAAATAAGAATAAATCCCCTAAACCCATCTCTCCCTCCGTCAGAACCCTCAATGCCGCCCCCTTCCTTATTCCCTCTTCTTCTATATATTTTCCTCTCTCTCTCTATTCTCTTCTTTAATTTCCCAGACAACCCCACCAACCTTCACTCTCTCGCCGTAGTTTCACTAGTACTTATGTGGCAGTGCCATGCATAAGTAAAAAGTGGGTCCTATTTGTGCGCTAATTTTAATGGATTTTCTAATGAAATTTGACCGCGTAGGGCAACGTAGTTGAGTTTTAGGGAACTAAGTGGCATATTTTGAGTTATATGAGGCAAAATAAGATTCATATTGAGTTTTATGAAGTATATGTGTAAATAAATTTTACAATTAAGTACCTAAAACCTTCTAACATTTTAGTGTCATTCTAAATTCGTATTAACCATTTTTAACTTTTCAAACAAATACCCAACTTATTGAAAATGTTACATCTGTTAAGTCTTAATTAACTTTTCTATTAAATGTACATGTGGCAACACTGGGTTTAACTTATTGAAAATGTTACATCCATTTAGTCGATATTAATTTTTCCGTTAATTCTATATATTGTTATATATATGTCCTCATCTAGAAAGCATAGTAACTATATATGCACTGCTTAATCTACCTTTGCAGAAATTTGGAGAATAACAACCTCACAGGCTCAATGCCGGTGGTACTCATTGACAGATGGAAGGATGGTTTACTATCATTAAGGTGTGCCACCCTTTTTTTTATAGCAGGAGGAGGAGATTTGCTGAAGAAAATAGAAAAAACTATATAGTAAAATAGAAAAAATAAATACCCGGACAACAGTAAGTTTTATATAAAAGCACCTTTTTTTTTGACAAAAGTACTTTGATAGCTTAATTGGAGAGAAAAAAAATATAACCATGTGGGTGTATGATTTTGAGCTCAGACCGAAATATAATCCACCAGTCTTTCATTTATTTATTTTTTTTCATATTTCATTCTTCCTAGAAATTTAAAATGATATGGCATTCCGCAGAAACTTGATTTTTAGATATAAGAACATGCGTTACAATTTTTATTTGGGAATTATATTATCTTTTACCATAATTGATTAAACAATACAATATTATTTTCGTATGACAGTTCGTGCGAAAATCCAAACCTATCCGGAAATGTTTCTTGCAACAAGAAGAAGAACAGGAAGTATAATTTTTTTGTTCCGATAATAAGTGTTTTGGTTGTTGCACTGTCAGTCCTCTTACTCAGTGCAGCAGCTATCTGGTGTCGGATTACTTATAGGAGGAAAAGGCAACTTGGTAAGATTCCATATTTGTTAATGTCATCTTCTTCCGCAATAAATAATCACAAACAGAAGGTTTTGATTTGTATAAGATGCTTATGAAAAATGTTATGATTGTAGGAAATAGCACAGATGCAAATGTAGTCATTCAGCATGGGTCATTTGAGCGAAAAGGGAGACAGTTTACGTACTCTGAGATAGTACAGATTACAAGGGGGTTCAAGATGGTTCTTGGAAAAGGCGGCTTTGGAACAGTTTATCACGGCCACATAGACGACACTCAGGTAGCTGTCAAGATGCTTTCACGGTCATCAGTGCAAGGGTTTCAGCAATTTCTCACAGAGGCATGTTTGTCATATTAAATAAACTAATCCCACTGTTTTTCGGATTAATATTAATTTTATTAAATTACATGTAACGTTTCTGACCTACTAAATTACAGGTTGATCTTCTTATGAGAGTTCATCATAGAAATTTGACAAGTCTTGTTGGATATTGCAATGATGAAACCAATATAGGGCTGATCTACGAGTACATGGCCAATGGAAACCTACGAGAACATCTTTCAGGTTGATGCAAATGAAATTACTCAGTACTAAATTTGCCATTCATTTCTTAATTAATTAGTACTTTTAAATTCTTTGGTAGTCCTTATTTTGATAATTCTATTTTCCTGGATCACCCGACTCTATAAAATAAGATAGTTATATTTTTTTTTATGGACGCAGGTAGCAGATCAAATATCTTGAGTTGGGGAGATAGACTTCAAATAGCAATAGAAGCTGCACAAGGTCTGTGTAACTAACCAATCATATTATTTAGGCACACAAAAATGATACACCTAGTATAGGTGCGTCCCACGTACAGTGGTACGTAGGGCTGAACTTTATGAGAGAGTATGTTAGCAACTCTTTGAGACTTTGAGTTTTAGGAGCTTAAATACCAATCATTATTGATAACGAAATGGTATCTACTTTTTGAGAAGTTGTGTCTGGATTTTAAAAACAGGACTGGAGTATTTGCACTATGGATGCAGTCCGCCTATAATCCACAGGGATGTGAAATCAACAAACATCTTGCTGAATGAAAAATTCGAAGCCAAACTATCTGATTTTGGCATATCCAGAAGTTTCCCTACAGAGGATGGAACGCATATAACAACAAATATCGCTGGCACTCCCGGGTACCTTGACCCTGAGTAAGAGTTCTTTTCATTTACTTGAGGCATCGTCTTTGTGTCCTTATTATGTATGCAAACAAACTTAAATTATATAATCAACAAGGAGTATGAAGGAAGAAACTATAAATCATTTTGGAAAACATTTTACATTGGGTGATATGATTTGAGATATATGGTTTGGCTTGCAGGTATTACGCATCATACAGATTGAATAAAGAAAGTGATGTTTATAGCTTTGGCATTGTACTGTTGGAGATTATCACAAGTCGACCTGTTTTTTCTAGAACGCATGAGCGGAGTTACATTAGTGAATGGTTCAGTTTCATGCTTCAAAAAGGAGACATTTACAGTCTTGTTGATCCGAGGTTAGAAGGAAATTTCTGTACGAACTCAGTCTGGAAAGCTGTGGAAATAGCAAATGCATGCGTATCTCCAACTGCCATCAAAAGGCTAAGCATGAGTCAGGTAGTGGTGGATCTAAAGGAGTGCTTGGCAACAGAACTCGCTCAAACAAACCAGAGGGATGAAACTGAACTAAGAAATTCCATTGCTATGCTACACCCCTCAGTTAGGTAGTAGTACTAAATATCTAACCAAACAAAGAGAAAGTTTGGGATGCATTATTTTCTTCTTTGTGATAGATACAATAGTTTTTGTATGGATTGCAATTTGCAACTATTTCCAATCTCATCAGGTTCATCTTTTCGTGCGAAAGGAGATAATGAAGATATGATCTAAACAACTATTATGTTGTTTGCCATTGAAGGTCCTAGCAATTAAGGATTAAGTTGAAGTCAACTTCAAAGTAGATAATAACTGGTATATCCGTATATAAAGAGTTTATCTGGAAGTTCATTTTTCTAATTTAACAACAATATTAAATCCACTTTATCATTACCATTAGAAAAGGTAATGTTGTGAATATATTGAAACAAAAGTTAAAGGTTCAATAACTTAGGGAGACAAGAAGCCTTATCCTAACACAATGTCAATAAGTTCACACGAGTTAGGCAATCATTATTAAGTAGCTAGCTACTAGAGTTACTTATAAATATCGGATCCATATACAGCCCGAAGGTTGTTAAGATCTTTGACCAATGATTTGAAATTCGAACATGGAGTACATAGAAGTTTATGAAAGTTAATACTAGGAACGTAATAAGACTTCTTCAACGTATGAGAAGGAGAAACGATAAAGAGACTGTCTCAAACTAAGATTCTCATGTACTTTTCACTATCTCATGTTTTTTATATAATATTTTATAAAATAAATCGAATTAATGGTCTCAATGGTGATAGGTTATTCAGAAGATATTATGTGGTAAAAAAAAAAAGATAAATTACATTTTACCCCTTGAGGTTTAAGGTCGATTGCAATCTCATATAATATTTTTAATACATTCATACATTTACTTACCATTTTATTTTAATTTTAACATTCATTAGTAAAATCTTTAAGTTGACAGTTAAATTATGATGTGGCAACTACGAGTCCCATATTTTTTTACTGATGTGACAATCAATTTTGGAATGTAGATAAAAAAACATGAATTATACATAAAATTTTAATTATTTAATAAAACCAAAATAAATACACAAACCTAAAAGAAAAAAATCCACAAACCCACATTTCCCCTCCAAATCACCATCTTTTCCCGTGCTGCTGTCTGGTTTTCCAGCAACTCTCCCAACCCCTCAAGGCCCATAAATTCTCCTCTATATATGTTTCTATTTTTGTCCCTTATTCCAACGGATCTCTCTCGCAACTTCATGGGTAAGAAAATGCAAGAAATCTTAGAGCCTGTTTGGTAACCTATTTGAAAATTTTTATTATTTCTCAAAACATTTCTTAAGAACATTTCTTAAAAACAATTTTTTTTAGGACTCAAAAACTTGATTGGTTTGCGATTTAAAATTTTTAAATCTTAGACTTAAACTAGACAAAGAAATCTAAAAAGAGGGGGTCATAGGAGAGGGAGAAAGAGGAGAGAGGAGGAAAGAAAGTAAGAGATGATTGAAGGAAAGAGAAAGAAGAGAGAGGATTGGACGAGATAGAGAGGAAGAGGAGTGAGAGAAAGAACCGAGAAAATGAAAAAAACGGATTAGAGGAGAGAGGCGAAAAAAGGTATAAAAAAATGAGAGAGAAAGAAGAAAAAATAGAGAGATTTGGAGTGAGAGGGAAGGAGGGAGAAAAAAAAGAAATGAGAGAGTTTAAATTTAAAAACTCTAAAAACTCACTTTTTATGTTTTTAGAGAATATACTATATTTTTGAGTTAGTCTTGAGTTCAGTTTTTGAAAATAGTCATACCAAACAAGTTTTTAAGGCCTAAAACTTGAAAATTGTTTTTGAGTTTAAAAAGTTGGATTCAAGTAGAGTACCAAACAGGCCCTTAGATCCGCAAGCCAAATTGGAAAAAACGAACGACAATACCTCAAAACCTACAAATCTAACCTTTAGTTTTTACTTCGATTTTTTACTTAAACAGCAGAGATTGCTCCGATCAGAGTCCCCCTACCGCTTCTCCTACTCGGTCCTTCGCCAGGCGACTGACTCGTTCTCTCTGATGCGCCTTCTGGGCCAAGGCGCTCTAGGTGCGTGTCCTTCGGCACAATCCCACACACTCGCCAGAGATCTTTTTAGCCTCCAAGCCCGATTCTCCGCTTGTTGTCTCGATGCTCAGATTCTCCTCCGACCCAAAACAGCGCCAAAGTAGGAACTGGAGAGCAAGCCCATCAGGTGGAGAAGAAGATGTGGGAGCAAGAGAGATGAACGGAGAAAGAAGAAGAATAGGCAGGGCTGCAAGGTGTTATGAATTGTACAAAGGTTGTTAGATCAAAGGGTTAAGATTGTGCAGGGTGGTTAGATTGAAAGGATAAGATTGTGTAAGGGAGTTGGGCCAAAATTGTATAAGGGTTTTGTAATTGGGTTCAATTGAGAATTTGGGGTTTTGAGAGAGTCCATTTGATTAGTTTGTTAATTGTCTAGTCGGCATACAGGTAGGTGTATTGTTGTGAGGATATATAGGAGGCTAATGAGTTGTAACGAATTCAGTTGGAAAATAAATAGTATCTTTCTTTGGTTTCTCTCCTCTTCCTCTCGCTCTCTGTTCGTTAGAGTCGGCATAGCCATTGCAGGTTGAGACCTTGTTGGTCTGGGTTGTATCACAAGGAGGTTGACACGATTTTGTGTGGATTAGGTTGTGAGTTTTTCTTGGGTTATGGCTTTTAGATGAGGGAAGGAGAAGAAATTGGGTGGTGGAATTTGGGGTGAATGTGGCTGGGGATGGGGAAGAGATGGATTTTAGGTTTTTTTTTTTTTTAACTTTTCTTTAATTAATTATTTTAGTATTTAATATTCTGATTAAATTATTATTTTTAAGAGTGTTGATAGACCCACCCTATTGTCTTATTTTCCCACCCACGTTATAATCTCACCTACTATACAAATTTAAAATTTTGAAATCCTATTTGTCCACTCACTATGATTCCTAAAATAACCTTCACCACAGTTCCATTGTTCCGTTTTCACCACCAAGAGGAGAAAATAGATGATCGATGGAACTTAACCTAATAAAACAAAATTTCTGTAAAAAATTTCTACTATCCAAATTCCCAAAATTTTTGAAAAATTATGAATGCACTACAATGAGATGCCTTGAAAATTGGATGGAACCTAATCTAATAAAGCAAACCCAAAATTTGCAATCACCATGATCGTAATCCAATATTAGACGATATCATATGCATAGAATAATATGCAGAGTAATCAAACCCTAATCAGGTAAATTCAAGCTTATTTGAATTGATTTTGGAGAAAAATGGCCACCATAGTCAAGATTTCAAATTCAAAGAATCAACGAATAAAGGAATTTCAATTCAGAGAGAGTGTGCAAATTTTCATTTCCTCTACATTTTAGTTCCTTTGCAGAAGATAGCAAGAATTTATGAGGGCATGTGTGAATGAACTCCAAAGAAAAATTCCAGATTCGAAAAGAGTGAAATGGGTGGAACACTAGGTTCGAAGAGGGAGAGATTCCTGATGTTGGTCAAATGCCATAAAAATAATTCTATGACGCCTAAAAAGTGCCATCATGTGCATGGCGTTTAATAGGGACGAAGAGAGAGAACTTATGTACTAAAATGATAAACAGGGGACGAGAGAGAGACAGTGGTGGTCGGTGGAGAATCCATAGCAGTCGATGTAGAAGGCAAGAAGAGATAAACCAAAGAGAGAAGCAAGAGGGGGAGAGAAACGGGATAGGAGTTGAAAAGTCTTTTTATAGAAAATTAAACATGTTATTATTATTGTATTAAAAGGAGAGTGAAAAAAAATAGGACAATGGGGTGGGGTTAGTAGCACCCTTTTTTAAATGCATAGATTTTTTTTTTGTCACGTGACACAAATTCGGCAGCCACATCCTCACAAATGTAGATTTAATATTTGCCACATCATTACTTAACGGTTTACTTAACAAATTTTCTGACGGATATATGAAATTTGGCATTAGAGAGCCCCTGAGGCCATGAAGCTTCTTACATTTATTAGTTTGCAATAGAAATCCAAACACTAGGAGCCAAATACTTTCTTCAAAATTTCCCGGGTGCAGTTAAAAAATTTCACTTTCATCACTTGACCAATCACCTATGGCATGTGTATCTGTTGAGGTCACCGAAAGGCCTACCATGAGTGAAGTAGTGGTGGGACTAAAGGAGTGTTTGGCAACAGAGCTAGCTCAAGCAAAGCAGAGTGGCAATGAAACTGAATAGGAAGTTCCATTGAGATGATGTCTAAGAAGAATTCATGGAATTGGAAAGTCCCTCAGCTACATAGTACAAGTAGACCTATCTTGATGAAAGAGGAAATTGATGTAATGGTCATTCAACTTTAATCCAATTAGAGTAATGGTTCATTCACTAAAATTTATGATTACCGGTCTCTTAACTCATCAAAACGTGCAACTATGGTCATTTTCGTTCACTCTGTCAGAATTTCTATCAAAATGAGTCACATGTCACACACGTGAGGTTGAATCAGAGGTGCAAATATAGAAAACCAAATGAGAAAATTGTAGTGATTATCCCTAAACTTTAACCCAATTGCAGAAATGGTCCCTCAACTTTAACCCAATTGGAACAATGGTACCTCAACTTTAATCCATATAGCAATGGTCCTTCCATCATGACTCATTTTGACGGAAGTTCTGACAGAGTTGACAAAATGACTATAGCTACATATTTTGATAAGTTAAGAGACCAATTGTCACGAAATTTTAATGGAAATACCATTATTTAGATATTCTCCACTTTATTGCCCGAGCTAGCCTGCTTTTGTGTCACAAGCCTGACCCTATGTCCAAGTCCAATAGAGACTAGCATGTTATGAGCCCGGGAAGGCTAGCTTGGCCAATTTGTGACCATTTAGTGCAATAATTTTTGTCTAAATGTTGGCCAATTTGTAAACACATTGATCTGTGACATCTATTTTTCAAGGATCATCTTGATCGATTTTCAATTTCATGAACCATCTTTATCAATTTCATGACAATTAAGAACTCTTCTCTTATATTTGTAATATATCTGTGCCAGGCTTCATTAGCATAGATTGTGGCCTGGGGGAATATTTCAGGGATAATGAAAGTCCGACAGGCATTACCTATATTTCAGACGAAAACTTCGTAACCACTGGTGAACGGAAGTTGGTGTTGCCTGAATACAAAAACAAGTATTACCCGTCATACAACTCTCTTAGAAGCTTCCCTGAAGGAATCCGAAAGTGCTACAAAATAAATGTTACAAGTAAAACCAAGTATTTGATCAGAGCAGGTTTCTTTTATGGGAATTATGATGGACAAAATGAAGTACCCCAATTTGAGATACATCTTGGACCTAACTTGTGGGATGCATTGAACTGGTTGGGGAATTCGTCGGAAGCAAAATATACCGAGCTCATACATGTCCCTCTGCCAAACTATGTACATGTTTGTCTGGTGAAGACAGGCTCCCGGGTTCCATTTATATCTTCTATAGATGTCAGGCCTTTAACCGATGCCTCGTACAAAACAGTAAAAGGGTCCTTATCACTTCTCTGGCGTTATGACACTGGTCTAACAAATGACCATTGGGATTACAGGTGAGTGATTTACATGTTACTATTGTCCCCAATTTAACCACATATACAGTCTGGCGGGATCTTTTTTTTTTTTTTTCACGAAATGACTGTTAAATAGTTATAGAATCATTTATAAGTAGCAATTTATATTCTGTCTAGTTTTCGAGGTAGGCAATATAACATTCATCAACATTGTTTGCATGTATTAATGCAATACCTTTATTTCTATAGGTATCCAGATGATATTCATGATCGAATCTGGAGTTACCTTGACGACCAGGGCTCTTGGACAAAATTAAATACCTCATCGACCATCAAATTCAGAATTCGAGTATCTACCACCATCCGTCGTGATGGGCACAGCTGCAACGCCGAAAAGTTCAAATGATTCGTTGAATATTTTCTGGGAGCCTTATGATGAGACTGAAGTACATCATGTTCACTTGCACTTTGCAGAAGTTGAAAAGCTCCAACCCAATCAGTCTAGACAGTTCAACATAACTACTAACGGAGAGCTGTGTTATGGGACACTTGCTCCTGATTATTTGTCCACAACGACAATATTCTGTACTGCTGAATCCCTGAGTGGACCAGGAGTAGAAAATAATTTTTCAATTATTAAGACTGGAAACTCTACCCTTCCACCCATCCTCAATGCCTACGAGATTTATGAAGTGAAAGAATTCTTAATATCAGATACCAACCAAGACGATGGTGAGTCATATTGATTCCTTACACAAGCTTAAAGTCCTTGCTATTGGTTTAGTGCCTCACCTAATATGTGAGTTTTATTAAGATGCTCCGTTTGCTTGTGAAAATATTAGTTGAGGCAATCACAAACATCAAGTGAACCTATAATATTGAAAAGAACAGGCAAGGAGATCCTTGCAACCCTCAAGTTTACTCATGGGATGGTCTAAACTGTAGCTATCATGGAACTGATCCCCCAAGAATTATATCCTTGTAAGTATAAATATCTTCACACCAAATTGCAGATTAATTTTCAGTACTTATAATTTTATTCATGTTTTGGGCTTTGCAATCAGGAACTTGTCTTCCAGTGGATTAGAAGGGTAGATTTCTCCTTCTCTATCAAATCTAACAATGATACAGACATTGTAAGTGTATCTAAATATCTGTAATTTTGTGTGAAAACATATCTCAGCAATAATACGGCAAATGAGTTGAGCGGCTCATTGCAGGGATTTATCAAACAACAACTTAAGAGGATCAATTCCAGAAATTTTGTCACAACTGCCGACATTAAATGTCTTGTAAGTTATTTTGTTATATATGTGTATGTGTGTGTGTATTTTGTTATTGTCTTATAGCTTATTTACGCATATGAAATTCAATACGAGTCTTGCACCATGTAACTTAAATTGTGTCACTTTAACTTCCTAAAACTCTACTTGTTTTTCACTTTACCATATGCCGTCAAAGTCTGTTAGAAAATTCGTTAATATTGGTGACATGTCACAAATAGGACCGGACCCAATTTTTGCACAAATAGATGCTACTAGAAAGTTCTACCCGCGCGTTGCTGCGGGATTAAAAATTGTGTAAAAAAATTATGTTTCCAAGGTATCAACCTATCAACTTGTATCACATTTAATTAAACTACAACAGCATATTGACACACTTAATATGAAAATTCATAAACTATTTGATAGTATGAAATCAAGCAATAATTGAAAATCAGAAATGCAGCTTAGAAAGTAAAAAATCCTACCTTATTACATTAAAACAATTAACAAATTCTTAGGGAATGATCACAAAAAAAGTATAAAAAAGTAATTCAATTTCTTAAATTTAAAAACGGTAAAGATGATAAAATAAAAAAAATAAAAAAAAGGTTCTCAGTTCTCACCGTAATGAAAATTATAACATTGTTTTAACATGAACTTAGGTTCATTTCAGTCACCAGCATTAATAAAACCAGTGACTTCAACCTGTGCAAGGAAACAACTTAATTAGACGCAAGCCAACCAACTTCGAATCTAACCAAATAAAAAGAGCAATCACAATCGAACTAACCTCTTCTTCCAGTGAAGTAGAAGATATCCCCTGTTTTGCCTTTGTGAACAGTGTACTCTACCTCTCAACACACAAAAAGAACACACTCAAAATGCTGAGCAATATTATAAAAACTACACATATACATCATTGTATATATATTTGGACATAAAGTATGAGGATCTGCTGACAGTATCAAGCTTAAATTTAACAAAAGAAGTAATTACGAATTGAAATCAAACGATATTATAATTGTTAAAAAAAATTTCTAACTAAATTTTACAAATAGTCCCTTCTTGTGTATAGCTCATCCTCAGAATTTGCAGCTGAAAACGAAATGTAAGTTCAAAGTATGATGAAAAAGAAGAAATGAAAGAGTTGTGTCAATGAAAAAAAAATGAGTGAGCAGGTATCAGAACAATCTACAAAGAATAAGAAATTGAGATGAATAAGTGGATAAAGTGCCGACAGGAAGAGCTGATTTCGAATCAATGATCCATTTCTCACCCTAATAATAGTTAACAATTGCAATTAGTAGAATTTTCTTAATAAGAGGAAATCTAGGAGCATAAGTAATAAGCATTAGAAATAGAAAAGCCTTAAACAGTGATTAAGGCCCTTTGAATTAACTTGTGAAGCTTGAAAAGTCATTCTCTTCACTTGGTCAATTTGGAAGTTATCCAATGTTTGTAAAAACATGAATCAGAAGAAAATTGACGAAATCGAAGGGAAAAAATGTTACTTAATAATTGTATATGTTATGAAAGCATCGAATAAAGTCCTGATAAAATATATGCACCTTTTTATTAACCACTTTACATATAAATTATAAATGATTATCAAACAGCCTTAAACAAATTTCATTTAGGGAAGACTGATGAGGGGATATACGACTCACAAACAATTGAGACCGTCCTCTTTTTTTTTTTTTTTTTTCATATCAACAAACACACAAATTCTTATATTTCCGAAAGCACCTGCATCCCAATATAAAAACTTAAATAATACATGAATCATCTATGTTTTGCTTTGCAAACAGCCAAGGGGATAGGAACTAAAATAAATTTCGTGACCAAGAACCTCTTAAAAACCAAGCTTGTAAGCATAAAAACAAAGCTTTCAATCTTTCTGTGCAAATAAAGATCACAATCAATTCAACCCCATTTCCGCAATCCAAAGCATCAAACTTCATACAAAAATAAAATAATTTTTAGAATTTCACCCAAACATAAAGAGAATAATATTGTTAGGTGTAGAGAAGAAAAATCCAGGGAAAAATGGAAGATGGGTTTTACTTGAGGACTCTAGATGGGTTCGTGGTTTCTCAAGAAGATCCCGTGGTTTCTGACAGAGAATTGACTAAATAAAAACTCTGAATGAAATATATATCGAGAACAATGAATTATTTTTTTTATTATAAGAAAAAATTGAACTAAGAAAGGGTGAAAGCGAACGTTCCCAATTGCAATCCGATGATTTTAGCCTGGAAAAACATTTCATAGCAACAAAAAAAGTGAAATCAAAAGCTCAATTGAATCAAATGAAGAATTTTCTAGAGTGCAAACAATTAGTGTTATCAGCAAGAAGTTTCAGACCTTAAAATGCAAAAGCATGTGCCCAAAATGCAATCCTACAAAACATGAAACAGCAGCCACAAGAGAATTGGAAATTTTCTAATAAAATGAACCGAAGACCAACTTTGAATAATTGGTAACGATGACGCTTTGACATTGACAGAGTGTATGTATGTGAGAGAGAGAGAGAGAGATGGAAATAGAGTTAGAATTAGACCAATGCAGAAATCAACCTTAAGATTCCCTCTGGGTCATATGGTTGCACCATTGATGAGAAACTGTTGCTAGAGGTTGATAGTAGGAGAGCTAACATTGCATTCCGGAAACACAAATCATCAGTGAATGCACTAATACAGGACTTAAATTCTGAAATATTCAATAATCTAGTTACCAGAGAATGACTTTTATTCTTCTAAAGAGGCAGTTGATAAAGGTGACTCTGGCCCAGTATACTTGACTGATAAAGTGGAAACTGTGAGCTTCAAAGCTAAAAGTTGAAGCTTCCACTTTTCAACTGGAGAAGAAATAAGAGTGAAAACGCACAAAATAAAGGGTTGTGCTATTCATACATCTCATTTTACTTATTATACAACTCTGATAATTTATATTCATTCATCTTCTTCAATTCATCCGATCCGACAGTTTAAAATTAAAAATGTGTGAGAATAAAATGGGATTAAAAATGTGTGAGAATAAAATGGGATGTACGGATATCACTCTCCCAAAATAAAAAACCTAATTTCCAAATCATTTCAAGAGAAATTAAAATATTTAATTTGGGTAAGGGATTTGAACAGAATACTCTTTTGTTAACCTTCCATTCGCCCTTCCTCAAGATTCATCCTTATTTTCTCCTTTTTTTTCCACCCACTCCTCTGGACGACAATTCTCTACTCTTCCTTTATTTGAATCAAAACATGGAATTACATTTTCTCAGCTACCAAACAAAAACTTACGAACTAAAATCACAGAAACACCAAAACTAAAACATGAGATCACATTTTCTCAGTCAACAAACAAAAATTACAAATCCAAAACTAAAAAGAATCAGAAACAAACTAAAACATGGGATTGGTGAAGGCCATAACTTGGAAAGCATAGACGCAGACAGCTCTTCGAGAGCGATCCCAACTCCGGGGTCGGAGATGGAAACAGAGGCCAATATCCTTAAGATTTTGTGTTGACGATTTTGAGATCGGGATAAACCGGTTGAAACCAAATTTGCACGTTTTGAAAAAACGTTAAGGAATCGGTATTTTGTGAGAGAAAAGCGCTAGATTCGAGAGCGAGTTCAACAGCGACAGAAGCGCAGATTTGTGAGAGAGAAGAAACCGAAGGAAAAATGGAGAAGATGCAAGAGAGGCTTGGACAATGATCGACACATGGCAAGCATGGACAAATAGGTAATCTTACGTGTAAAGAGAAGAAAGAACGGAGCAGGAGAGCTGTTCGACAGGGTAATATCGCCAATTTAATGTTGGGCATTCGGATCGTATTTTTCGTGTTCGTGTCGTTTTCGTGTCATATTCGATATCTTAATAGGTCGTGTCGTATAACACTTGTTAAAATAAACAGGTAAAATGACCCGACCTGAAATCGACTCGATAATATTAACAGGTAATATGATCTGATCTGTTACCCGTTAAGGAAAATATAGTTCAAATCAATAAATAATCAAATGAAAAACATAATATTAAATAAGTATATACATACTATATTATCACATTCAAAAATATAAAAACGCATTTGTCTTTCAAGTATTACATATTTACATACCCAAAATAAGAGCATAATAAAAAAAAACATTAGAACATTACAAAATATCAAATGTTCAAAAGATTTGCAAAATTAAGGGAGTTATGTTTCAAGGTTTGGAACCTTGCACATTTTCTTACAATCAAACTCTTCAATTTTCATCAATCACCATGGGAAACAGTATTGGAACTTTGGCTTGATATATTGTCTTCAAGAGTTATATTGATGATTGTGGAGCCAAAAATATTCACTAGGCGCCACGTGGTTTTTTGGATAAAAGAGGACAAAAATACCCTTAAAGCATACTGGGATTCCTACGCGCGAGCAGTGGGCAATCATCTTTCAACCAAATCAAAAGTGCCCAAAATAGGTAACAATTTGAAGCCTATTTCATCAAATCATTTCTATAAGGTAATTCCCAAAACCTAATTTATTTAATATGTTTTATATTCCATTATTTAGCTAATCAATTAGCTAAATAATATATTCCTTTCAAATTTCCTAAAAATTGACTAATTAAGGGATTAATTACCTAATCAATCCCTTAATTACCAAATTGAAACACCCATTCAAACCTAAAAGTCACTAGAGGGCCGGCTATCCCCATTTCAAAACCTAATCCATCACTTTTTTTCTAACTTTTTCACCATTTCTTCCTTTTTATTAGCCAATAAATTCCATAACCACCAAAACATTTCCATTTATGTTTAATGAGCCAATTAATTGCCTAATTAAACCAAAACAAAACCTAAAAACCCTACTAAGTGGCCGGCCACATTCCTCTCTAAAGTGAACCAACCTAGCCCTATAAATAGGCTTCTATATTCACCAAATATTCATTCCAATTCTCTTACAAAAAATCCCAAATACTCTAAACACTATTTCTCTCTAAAATTCTAACTTTGGCATCAGAGGTTCTTTGGCCAAAGCCCCCCCCATTCATCGTGGGCACGTGAGGCTTTTGGCCTTAACCTAAGGTGCTAGTTGTTTTGTAGGTGCAAAATCGTCCAAGATCAAGGAGGAGAAAATTTGCATCCACAAATTGGTGCTTTCATTGAGAGTTGAAATCCATACTCGTAGAA